TGTAAGGTATCTTGCTTTCCACAACAATGCAGCTTTTTTTTCTGCCCTGTTATTCTGAGCCTGTACATGCAAAGGGATGTTTTAGTGTACTTTGTAATCCTGTCACGATTCACTGTGGGACTATTGGAAAAGACCGTCTTGAGACATAAGGCAGCATTGATGGAAATTTGTTGCGACAGTCACTATTCACACACATGATACACTTTAAAAAGGGAGATGTGGCTTCTTGGTTTGTTACAAAGACCCATGGGATGATTGGCATACTGAAACATAGTTTAGAAAGATGGTGTTTAGGCTTGTCATTGACCTTTGGCAGCAACATTCTTGATCTTCTCAAGGTTGTGGACAAGCTGTACCAGCCAGGATCCACATTGAAAGCACTGGAAAACATTTAAAATGTACTGAAAAATAGCTGATATTAAAATTCTGTGCAATTTTGTCACATAAATTATAAATAAAACAGCCTTGAATCAACTGTTTCAAAAGCTTTTGAATTCAATTATCACCACATTAAAATATGTAGTATGAAAAATGGATATTCAATTGTAGGTTACAGATTACATTTAGATTACATTTAACAGTGTCACATGATATATATAAATATGCTGATTTGGGGGTCAAGAAATATTTCTTAGCAGTGTTAAACAGTTTCTTAAGAGTTTTGTGGAAATCGTGGTACATTTCTTGTAGGATTTGATGAATAGGATGTTCGTAGTGATTTCGTGGTTTTTTTTGTTTTTTTTTGTTGGTATTTTTACCAGTAAATTAAGAAGTCTGTAATATTGGTGACATAACCAAAGGTACCAATATGCTGTGCATTTCTAGCAGTGCTGAGACCTCATGGGTAAGTTTCAGTTTTTTAGTTCAGTTTCAGTCTGTTCCTGTCTGTAGGTGATTGGATGGTATTTTATTGTTGTCTCATACTTGTATCACTCTCATTATCAGGCTTTTGATTTCTGCAAGAAAGCCTAGAACAGCTACGGTGTAATGGTGAATACAATCTGATGGAATCTGTGAAGCCCGTGTGGATGTGATTGTGTTTGAAGGAATGCATGTTCATGAGTGTGGTTAATGTGTAAGAGAAGAAGCTAATCAAGACATAAACCAAATCCCACTCTGATCCTGAGGCCTCTTCACCTCACTCATGTCCACCCATATGAACTAATCAGACTTCATAATTACGACCCTGAGTGGCGCACCGCACACGGAGCAAATTCAATAAACTGCAGCCACCCAGCTGAGAGCACACTGGAGGGATGGATTTCTTTTGTAATGGTGTTGCTATCCCAACATTATGAAATAAAAATGTTTTGGCTAGGAGATGACAGATACGGACAAAAGATGAAAACATGTCCATATAATCAATGAGTACTTCAACTGGTTTTCACGCCTACCATGTCATTGGTTCAATCAAACTCACTTTCAGCTGATGATCGGTGGCATGTTAGATCAGGCTTGGATATTTAGAGGTAATGCTGAAATGTGTTTTGAAAATGAGTTTTAATACCTTTTCTCTCTACCTTTCACAAAATTGTAGTCTGTAAGTTTAAAAAAAAAAAAAAATTTTGAGTCTCTTATGCTCACCAAGGTTATTTGATCAAAAATATAGTAAAAACAGTAATATTGTGAAATATTAACTGTTTTATTTTGATATATTTTAAAATGTAATTTATTCCTGTTATGTTAGAACTCAGTTTTTAGCATCATCACTCCAGTCTTCAGTGTCACATGATTCTTCAGAAATCATTCTAATATCCTGATTTGGTGCTCAAGTAAAACTTATCAATGTTGAAAACAGATGTGCTGCTTATTTTTTGTGGAAATCATAATCATTGTGGAAAATCTTTTGAATTAAGTGACCCATAAACTGACCGCATAACTACATTACACAAACTGTACAATAAGAATACAGGTTGGGATAAAAGTTAAACCAATGCTGATTTTAGACAGTTGGAAGTAGTTAATAAGAGGAGTCATGGTCTTAATGAAAATCAAACTTTTGCTGATTAGCACTATGAAATGCCACGCACCACAAGTTATCCTTCCCTCAGGAAACTATAAAAAGAAAAGCAGGGAAAAGGCGGAACCCCATCTGTGCAGTTTCATGGGCCATTTTGAGCCCTGAACATTTCTCTTAATCAACATTCTTTTATCTTCCACCAGAGGTCAGAGGAGCTAGAGATCTGGAATTTTACAATGGCAAGAAACCTGACTTTGCTCAAATCCTTTTTTAGGATTCAGTTTAGAGCTTCAAATGGGTTCATGATGCATCAGACATCACTAATTAAAGCAGGATACAGAGAATGTACCCCTTTTGTGAAGCACAGTCCACTTAGATGTTCTTCAACTTTTCTTGAAAACATCCCTGATGAATTTGGCCCTCACAAGGCACATTGAAATCCCACATCAATAGAATTGATTGTGGAGCAATTCTCTGACACCCCTTGTGGAAAAGGGTGGATAAATAGCGGAGAAAATTGCTTTCCTGACCCCTCACCTGTCAAAAAGAATCCCTGTGAAGAGGTAAATACAGTGGGTACGGAAAGTATTCAGACCCCCTTAAATTTTTCACTCTTTGTTATATTGCAGCCATTTGCTAAAATCATTTGTTAATTTTTTTTCCTCATTAATGTACACACAGCACCCCATATTGACAGAAAAACACAGAATTGTTGACATTTTTGCAAATTTATTAAAAAAGAAAAACTGAAAAATGCTCAGTATTTAGTAGAAGCACCCTTTTGATCTAATACAGCCATGAGTCTTTTTGGGAAAAATGCAACAAGTTTTTCACACCTGGAATTGGGGATCCTCTGCCATTCCTCCTTGCAAATCCTCTCCAGTTCTGTCAGGTTGGACGGTAAACGTTGGTGGACAGCCATTTTTAGGTCTCTCCAGAGATGCTCAATTGAGTTTAAGTCAGGGCTCTGGCTGGGCCATTCAAGAACAGTCACAGAGTTGTTGTGAAGCCACTCCTTCGTTATTTTAGCTGTGTGCTTAGGGTCATTGTCTTGTTGGAAGGTAAACCTTCGGCCCAGTCTGAGGTCCTGAGCACTCTGGAGAAGGTTTTCGTCCAGGATATCCCTGTACTTGGCCGCATTCATCTTTCCCTCGATTGCAACCAGTCGTCCTGTCCCTCAATTCTGTGTTTTTCTGTCAATATGGGGTGCTGTGTGTACATTAATGAGGGAAAAAAATTAACTTAAATGATTTTAGCAAATGGCTGCAATATAACAAAGAGTGAAAAATTTAAGGGGGTCTGAATACTTTCCGTACCCACTGTATGCTTACAAAGGAAATGATTGATCAAAGCAGACGAAGAATCAGAAATCACTTTGTGTTGAACTCATCAGTGTGTTTTTATGAACTCTGTATGTACAAGTCAAATGAGGACTAACTATATGTTTTAATTTTTGGAAAGTAAGATTGACCACAAAATATGTTCCTTAATCCTCATTGGCCAAATCTTTTTTTGGTCTCAGTGTTCAGCAAAGACAAAACAGATTATTTGAAAACAAATATATTACCTGTATGTAATTAAATATCTATTTAATTTTTGAGATGACTGATAAAGCTCTCCTGCTACTTAGAAGTCATCTAAAAAACAATGTTACAATCTTAATACAATTGATGTATTTACAAGTGTGTATATAGTAAAATATTTGATATTAAAACCTCATCATTTTACCACATTTTCTTATGAGTTTCCAGCTTAAGACGTTAACTGCTTTAATTATAAAATAAGTAATATAATTTAACAATGAAAATTATTGTAATATTGTGACAAGGAACAGCAACCATGGGTACAAAGTTCAGTGATGATTCTGCTAAAGTTGTGAGTAATGCTATTTTGAGTACTTGTTTATTTATAATGAATAACATTAATTTCTTTAGATTATTATTTTGAGATCATCTTTGATTAGCAAAATGTCTGATGTTCCATGAGTAAATCATTTAACTTTACAAGGAATTGACTGAGAAATTGAGCTTGAATATTTTCAGGTCTAAACATTCAAGAGAGTGAATTTTTGTCTCCAGTTAGGATGCATATGTGATCTTTTTTTTTTTTTTTTTTTTTTTTTTT